GTACAACCTTATAATTTATCAATTCTATGGAGCAAACTATAGGTGGAAATGGTTTGAGTGAGGAAACTATTATCCAATGGCAAAATAATTAAACAAAACAGGCAAATTAAAATGGTCGGGAGAAATTCAATGGAGAAAGCTCTGGGAGAAACACTGGGATTCACTACCTATCCTATCCAGATTAAATCACATATTCCAATCAATTTAATCCAACTCTCTACAGCCAGGATATCACGAATGTGCTAGCTATCCCTGTCGGGAATTACTACGTACTAAACCATTAAATCAAATCCTACTATCGTAGCTCAATGACTTAATCATTAAGCCTGAAGATCGATATCCTAATCAAGACCGCATAGTACCTTATTTAATCCACTGTCGCTTTGATAAGTTACTATGTCACATGAAATAGGTACAGTTATTAGGGTTTCACTGTCGCTAATAACCTAATTAACAACAAATCAATGTATTGGTGGCCAGTCAACACAAAGCAATAAGAAATTCCATGCAATAGAGATAGGAAGAAAATAAATATGAATTAATCCATCAAATCAAGAAATAGTGACATCCTATGGTGTTTCCCCCAGAAATTGGAGTTTAGTTCATGACGAAAATAAAACACACAATCATGTTCATAATCATCATCGTATTAATCGAGGGAAGAAAATACTGATTTTGAATTATGCCCGACGATCAGCCATTCACGTGCCCAGAGCTGTTGTCGAGCAGTGCGCCGAGAGCTGCTTCCCTCAATTATTTCGTTCCCTTCCTCCCGAGAATTTCCTTCTCATCTCCAAAATCCTTCTCCAGTCAAAGTCCCCCCTTCCAAATATAATTCCACCTATAGGTGTCAATCGGGCGGGTTCGGGCTGGGTTCAATCGGGTTCGGGTTCAAACGGGTTGCGGGTTAGTCGGGTTGCGGGTTCATCGGGTTGCGGGCAAATCGGGTTGCGGGTTCATCGGGTTTTGGGTCGGGCGGGTTGCGGGCGGATCGGGTTTCGGGTTATTCGGGCCAGCGCATCAAGTAACTTAACTCATTACTCATTACCAACTTACACATTTTATTACACTAATTTAAAATATTTTCTCAACTTTTTAACCAATTTATTTCTACCTCGTATATATATACTTTATTTTTTTGAAAGAAACTAGTCAAAATGTTAAATCAATTTGTATGACTTGCTAACTTGTTATGTAATTAATCATAATTGGTAAAGTATTATAGCTAATAGTAATGGTGATATCAATATTTGCAACCAAAAGACAACATTAATTGTTTTTTTTTTATATTTTAGTATTAATTCAGTAGTAAGTGGATTAAAGTATCTCGTTTAGTATAACCATGCAAATCTGTTATTTGGTGTGTGGTATTTGGCAAAAGCATAGTGATAAAAGGAGTTATTTCGAAATAACTCATTGCCCAAATAATTTCAGTAAACTGTTGCCAAACGAGTTATTTGTAAAATTGTTCGAATTATCCTAAAAATTGAATCATTAAAGATTAGCTTTCAAATTTAGTAAAATTATTGTTACTTCAATCATAACTTACTCAATAGCATATATTCTATACACTTAGCCTTACCCTCAATCAACAATATTAAGTTAGTATATGTTGTTGATTGTATACCCTAAACCATTAATACATTATACACTAACCACATAACCTATACCCTATACCCTAACCATATGTCTTTGAGTTGTGATTTTGCTAGTATAGTTAATTTAAAAGTGAAATTCATACTTTGATTTTCAACATAGATAAAAAGTGATATTTGCTAATTGTTATACCCTAACCATATATCTTATACTTTACACCACATACCTTGTACCCTAACCACGCACCATAAACATAAATTAAAAAGGGATCTCCTGCCGTTAAAGACTTCAAATGACTTCAAGTGAACATATGTTAATAAAAAACTTAGAACCGTCAAAACCATCAATATCTTATACCCTAAACCATATGTACCTTATACCCTATACCCTAACCATATACTTTATATCCTAAACAACGAACCGTCAAAGATTACTTATCAAGTTGTTGTAACTAAAAGTTAAAGATTCATATTTCAAAAGCTAAAATTATGAAAAACAAAAAAATTGAAAACCCCAAATTTGTTTCCTTCTTTCTTTTCACAAAAATACTAAAATTTCCCTCCTTCTTTCTACTTCCATACATTAGAAAACTCAATTTTCCCTCCTCTTTCTCTTCCATAAAATGGAAAGAACCAAATTACCCTCTTCCACTATAGGAAAACTGGTTACTAGTCACGGGATCTTATTCACGGGAATTTTTTCTGTATTGAAAAGTATGCTAATAATCACAGTAAAAGTTCCGGTAATTAGATATAAGATTCTAGTCACGGGAATTGGTTCATCTGATTTTTAGTATTAATTTACCGTGACAATAATTAGTCACCGTTAATTATCGTGAATAATGAGATAATATTCTTTTACAAAAATATCCCAACATTTGGAGGAGAACATATTTTGGCTCCAAGTTTCATTTGCTCTAAAAATTTTCATTCCAAAATCGTTGGCTCCAAGGAATTCCCAACAGCAAAAGGTCAAACAAAAATTTTGAAAGGGGAAAATTTTTTACTCCTACATTGTGAAAAAGAACTTTTCCCACCAAAAACATCCCGCCTAGTGAAATGGGCAAAAACTTTACCGCCCACACTTTCTAACCCTTGAAAGTCGAAATAAGTCTTGGCTAAAATCAGCAATTAAACTCGATACTAGCAAAAAAGTAAATTCGTTCTTCTTTGAGCGAGATGGAGACAAACTCTTGATGAGCAGAACCCATAGATGAGACCAAATAATGTGATTAATGATTGGCATGTATTCATAGTAAAATACGGTGACCAACTGTTAATATGTAGACATGAGAGAATCAACCAAATAATGTGATTAATGATTGGCATATACCATATAGACACGGGAATTACCACCAAAATTCCCACCTGTTTCTTTTTTAAAAAATTCAAAGAACCAAATTTCACTCTTCTTTCTCTTCCCAAAACTTGAATACACCAAAATTTCCCTCTTCATTTAAAAACACCAAATTACCAAATACATTACTTTAATTTATTTATATTTAATTAATAATTTCATTGAATAGTTAAATTAACCAAAATTTTAATTTATATATTATATTAATATTGTCATGATCTCAAGTGACCTTCATGTTTCAATTTTTGTAATTTTCTTAAAATACGTAATATCAAGTGAGTTTCATATTTTTTAAATTTCCTATACAAAATGGAAAAATAATTTTACTTAAGTTTAGAATGAAAAACTCTATTTTGAAAAACTATGTATTGTATATTTTTATAATTATTCAAGTGGATTAGATGAAATTCGGGTTGAGTCGGTCGGGTTACGGGTTAGTCAGGTTCGGGTTAATCGGGTTGCGGGTCAGTCGGGTTGCAGGTCAATCGGGTTCGGGTTAATCAGGTTGCGGGTTAGTTGGGTTGCGGGTCAATCGGGTTGCGGGTCAATCGGGTTACGGGTTGTTGACTTTTAGTCGATTCGGGTTGCGGGTCGGGTTGATCGGGCGGGTTAATCGGGTCGAGCTATGTTTTGACACCTATTTCCACCCAAGAAATATAGTCACCAGCCGCCTTCCTTTTCCCTCTGGTGCCCTCGTATTCGACCCACTTCTTTCCTCCCGGTCTGTAAATTCCTGGCCCCAAAATTATGGGGTAAATTGCAAGACTGGTCACTCGAATTACTAAAAACGTTCATGTTTGGTCACTACAAATATTTAATTTCATTCGTGGTCACTAGGTTTAATAAAACAGTCCTAATTTCATTCGTGGTCACTAGTTAATCTCCGTTAACTAAATCTGTTATTTGCTGAGGTGGCTAACAGAATCATCTAGTCAGCCTAATTTAACCCAAAAATAATGAAACACGACCAGCCACGTCATTAAAACTCGCCATGTCAGCTTGTCCAACCTAACTCTTGAACCAACCCGGCCTATGAACCGAACCACTCGAACAAAATAATGTTTATCCTATTTTCCTTTCTCAGATCAGAAATTCATCTTCTCTCTAGTTCTTGTTCATTTTTCTTCCCGAATCCAATTCCCAGCAAACGAAAAAATAAACCCTAAATTTCCAATCCCTTTCTTCCCTAAACCCAATCTTGGCGAGAATCACACCCACTTTGATTTCGTCAAACCCAATCTCGGGGACAATCTCGGCCACCCGATCCCAGCGTCAATCCTGTCTTTTCTTCTTCATCGGTGGGGTTTTTGTGGGATTGGGGTTCTTCGACGGAGATGACCAGAAATCACCCAATTCCTCCCCTCTGCAACGATACACCATCCCTCATCCAGCCGATGAATTCGTCGATAGACGATCAGGAAAGACAGAGTTGTGTGAAGGCGAGTCGCTGACGACGGAGTGCTCGTTCGACGACCGGCCGGAGCTACGTGAGAAACATTCTCTTGTGTTGCATTGCCAAAGAAGACGGAGTAGCTACGTGAAGACAGAAAGGCGGATTAGTCCCAGCTTGTTGCATCGTTTCGCAAATTTCCATATCCCGTTTTTCGATGGCGAATAGAGGGGTGAGGAAGAGGCCTTAACCAGCCTGTCGTATTCGTTCTCCCAAGTCGTCTACCTTTGTCCTCTCCTCAACAAACAACTCTAGATCCATAGCCGCCGTCGAGCATTAGCCCCAAATCTGTCTCCAGCCGGCAGATCTGAAATCCCGCTAATAGATGGCGATGAAGGCGACATGCAAGTCGTCCCCAACAACCGAGGACTAAAAGCGGCGCTCGGGTTCTTTCTTCGGATGCTCTGGGTTCGTGAGAGCTGGAGACGGTGCTCGGATCAATCTCCATCACTTTCCTTAACCACTGCTGTTGGGTTCGTCATATCGACTCATGCCGCTGTCTCCACCCCCTTTCCTCGTCTTCCTCCTCTTCTTCTTATTCTAACCTTAATTGTCATGGTGTGGGAATGGATGTCGGGAATGAATATGCCATTGAGGTGACGAGGTCGAGGACCTGGAAGGAGCGGATGATTGAATCTGACCGGAGAAGCGGTGGTGGGTGAGGACGAATGTAATAACGATGGGTGTAGAGAAGGTGGCCGGATTTGGAGAGGAAGAAAGATGGGGAAGATGAACAGTTTCGGGAAGAGGAAGGAGGAAGAAGGTTCGAGTCGGTCGGGTCAAAGAAGAAAAGAAAGGATTGGGACATTGGGTCATGGTTGGGTTGGTTTGAATGATGTGGTGAATTTGCATGATGTGGCAGGTTGTGGTTTATTTTTGTTGGGTTAAAATTGGCTGATTAGGCACTTCTGTTAGCCACATAAGCAAATAACTGACTTAGTTAACGGAGGCTAACGGAGACTGACTAAATTTGGACTGTTTTATTAAACCTAGTGACCACGAATGAAATTAAATATTTATAGTGACCAAACCTGAACGTTTTTAGTAATTTCAATGACCAATCTTGCAATTTACTCCAAAATTATGTGTGTCCAATTAATAATAATCGCCGCCCAAGAGAACAATCGTCTTCCGTCCAAACAAATAGTTCCCCCTGGCCAATTAATTCAATTCCGGCCCAAAGCTCCTTTTCATTTGCTGGGCTTCAAATCCAATACGTACTCGCCAGCTGCTTCAGCTTCCATACTCTTCCGCTTTTCCACCTATATATATCACAATACTAACACATGGCCGTAATGGTCTTATAACCATTTTAGAGTCAGTTCGCATTAAAACGAGCATTATATGTCTCAAACGTATCATGAAATAATCACATTAAGCACATGAAATCAATATGTTTTCGACAATTATCACAACCCCACACTCAATTGTTGCTTGTCCCTAAGCAACGACTCAAACAAAACAAACACATAACCATCCACAACAATGACACATCATAGACTCAACACTCAAACACTCAAAACAAAACATAAAATTTCCTTGTACTCTTATTGTAATCAGTAGTTTCTTTCTTAAAGGACGAGTTGTGCTTTAATGATCATACCTTTCACCCCACACTCAAGGTCTTGCAAACCGTTAACCATTGACTGAGTCAAATCCATCAAAAACTCAATTAGCGACACTCAATTCCGATCGTCGGTAGTGGGTGCTTAAAAACTTATGGTGTAACAGTTATTAGGAAAATCTAACCACATCAGTGAGGTGCATATCTCGTGAGGACAATCTGGCTTACTCACAACAATCATAAGCAATTAACAAAGCATGAGTCTCAAAAACTAATGGGGGAAGCCTTTCGCAAACATGATTTTAACTTTAAGCACATCAGTACCTTTTATGACAAGGAGAGGCTTTCTCTCTTTCTGATTTTGCTTGCCGAGTGGTCGTATTTAGTACAAGTGGGATTTGTTTCTTACTACCGGTGACCGAGCAAGAGCAATTTCTGCTGCTTAGCACTCGCATAAGGGCTTCTTTTAACTCCTTTTCCTCGGTCCGTGTGGAGGGTCATTGCACATCCTCTAATGGCACTTCACTCAACTGGGGATCGTACTTGATAAGCAATATCGTACGGTCGCGAACCGATTCTCAATTGAATCTTTCCTAATCCCCATGTGCAATGAGTGATTGCCTCACACGATTTTGGCATTTTTACCCACACTTTAATTGTTATGGCAACTTTCTTATATTTTACTTGTCAGGTAGTGTTTTCTTTTATAAAGATACAGTTCACCCCATCATAAAACAATCAAAACAGAGAGACTAATTGCAAAATAAAAAGCTCACAACAAATGCAAGTAAGCACGGTATCCAAACATGTCGAATGGTCAATGTTCTCCACCTAGCTACTTCGCCAAAAGTCATTACACTATCCTCACAAAAGAGAATGTTGCTAAGAAGTTTGCTCATTCCAAACATATCAAGTCAGTCAAAACATCAAGCTCATTGTGAAGAACTATGCAATTCAACACTAGTGGGGTGATTTTGATGATTTCAATCAAGCACAAACTCATTTTCAACGCATCACGGTTATTTACATCATGTTACCACAAGAGTACAAGGTTTTGTTTTTAAAATTTTATGATTTTTAGGTATTTTTTAGCCATTAGCTTTGCACAGGCAGACTGCACCAACACAGGCAAACTGTATGCAGGTTAGCTGTGCAGAGCCAAATGACAGTTTTTTTTTACCACATGCAATTGGGACAAACAAACACTAAGACTCACCACCCCACACTCAGGATGGAACAATGTCCCTAATATTCAACTCCTAATCTAAACATGCACTGGTTTGACACAACTAAAAAGAAAAATAAAGAAAATAAAACTTACCTTGGGTTGCCTCCCAAGAAGCGCTTGTTTAATGTCCTCAACCTGACGTTCATGGAGCTTTCAACCAATGGGTATGGAAAGGTATCCAGAATACCCTCTCGAGCAATGATGGAACGCATAACCTCCATCCAACATATGAGTCAGCTCTGCAGGGCCAGGTGTGCAAAAATTCGGTATGACCTTCTTAGTTGGCATGTTGGACCCTTTAGTGAGGCGTAGGTGGTATTGCAACGCCTCAAGCAAGTACTCTTCCTGTTTCAATGTCAGTGAAGAAGGAATAATAACAGGAAGATTGAAATCCTTACCCAAATATCTATACTTGAGGTGATCTGGCAAGGATTTCTGTCCTTGCTTTGATTTCAGAATCTGAGCAGATAGGACATGTGATACTTCAGCTGATCCACTATCACAGGAAGAGGAATTTTTCCTTTCTCGAGCTCCACTTTCAAGGTCATCAAATGCATCGTGATTATGATCAACTTGAAAGACATTAAGAATTTCCTCCTCCTTACCTACTCGGAATGTCAACTTGCCTCTTCCAACATCGATGAGTGCATCACCAGTTGCTAAAAAAGGTCTGCCGAGAATTAGAGGCACTCCCCGATCATCTTCCATCTCCAGAATTAGAAATAAGTTGGGAGAATAAACTTCCCCACCTTCACTAATACATTCTCCACCACTCCTTTTGGAATTTTTACTGATCGATCAGCCAATTGGAGAGTGATCCGAGTAGGCTTAAGAACATCTCACAATCCCAATTTCTTGTAGACTGAGTATGGCATTAAATTTATTCCTGCTCCAAGATCACAAAGTGATTTATCGAACTCTCTACCTCCAACGACACATGGAATGGTGAAGCTTCCTGGATCATCCCTCTTTCCTGGTAATTTATTCTGAATCACAGCACTACATTCAGAAGTAAGGGTTACCTTCTCTAGATCAGCCCACTTGCGCTTCTTTGTCAGCAACTCCCTTAAGATTTTAGCATATGTAGGCATCTGTTCAAGTGCCTGTGCCAGTGGTATGTTGATCTGAAGTTGCTTGAAGAGATTCACAAATTTCTTGAAGTTTGGGTCTTCTATAGGCTTCATTAACCTTTGAGGGAATGGTGCGGGAGGTTCATAAGACTTTACCTCTTCATTCTTGAGTTTTCCACTTTTGGAGTTGCACAGGCAGAATGCTCATGCACAGGCAGATTGCATGTAGTTTGCCTGTTCAAGTCAGATTTTTCAGCTTTTGCACTTTCTTCCTCTGCAGCTGCTTTGCCCTCCTTTTCTACTGGATTTTTCTTGCTCTTTGGATCCTCCAACTCCTTCCCACTCCTCAATGTGACGGCTACAACCATGCCGTCCTTCGGATTCCTCTTAGTATTTGCTGGTAAAGTCCCGGGAATCCTACCTTGAATACTGCCAAAGTTTGAGCCATCTGGCCTATTTGCCTCTCCATAGCTAGCATAGATGATTGCATATTGTTGTTGATGGCTAGCTGTTGAGTGACAAATTGATCAAGACCCTTGAAATTATTGTCTGTTTTCTACATATGAGCCAAAATCAACTCTTCTAACTGGGGCTTCTTCTCTTATTGAGGTTGCTGTTGCTGGAAACCGGGAGGTGGGATGTTTCGAACACTAGCTGGATTATTGTTTGACCATGACATATTGGGGTGATGTCTCCATTGAGGGTTGTATACATATCACCCTTTCCTTGACTTCGCGGATTATTGATATATTGGACATCTTCCAACTGAGCAGCTCCCTGTGGACACATATCCCTATGATGAGCAGCCTCGCAAAGTTCACATGAAGCAACCTCCTCTTGTCTACCCAGAGCAATCTTGGCCAGCCTTCGTTCGAGTGCATCAAACTTAGAATCCAGCTTGGCATCTATCTTGGCTTCTAGACTCGCAACTCTGTCTAGCTCATGCAAGCCTCCTCTTCTTCGAATACTGGTCTCACTACCCCATGCAGTGGCTTCTGAACAAATCTTCTCTACCAGGTCATATGCTGCTGGTGCCTCCATGCTTGTGAAACCATTCCGCGAAGCATTATTAAGGGCACCCCGGAACTCCCTTCTGATTTCATTGAAGAAAATAATGATCACGTTCCAATCCTCAAGACCATGACTTGGGCATCTCATCAACAACCCCTTGTAGTGCTCCCATGTCTCAGTTAGACTCTCATCATCAGCCTGCTTAAAAGTAACAATCTCTTCTTGCCTCTTCATTGCCAAGACAGGTGGGAAGTACTTATCCAGAAAGACCTTCTCAAGCTGAGCCCATGTCGTGATGGAACGTGGTGTTAAGTTCTGAAAACAGTGTGATGCATTCCCTATCAGGGATAATGAGAACATCCGTAGGCGGATTGCATCATCAGATACTGTGGGGCTCTTCATCGTATCACATATGCTCGCGAACCGGCAGAGATGTTCGTGAGAATCCTCATTGCTAGCCCCGGAGAGAGTATATCCATTGGTGATCATGTTGATAAATGCTGGGGTAATCTCCATGGTTGCATCCCTAGCCAGAATGACAACACATGAAGCTCGGGCTCCAGTCTGTCGATTCAAACGAGCCCTGATCGAACGATCCTCGTCTGCCATGATGACAGGCTCAATGTCACGAGGTGGTGGTGGTGTTGTCGGTGGTGTAGGGACGACAAGTGATGAAGCCTGCCCTCTCTGTTGACGATTCTTGGTTAGGGAAGGCCTAGGAGTTGTGGTTGTGGTTGGCTGCTTCCCTAACTTGACCTGCTTCATGTTCTGTCGGTAGGTCCTCTCTATCTCTGGATCAAGTGGCAGTAAATTGCCGGTCGTCCTCCTTGGCATGCACGAGGAGGATACACCTGAAAAATTCACCTGCACACTAACACCCAGATCAAAATAGTTCACTTACAAAAATCAACAAAAATAAGGTATGGCAGTCCCCAGCAACGGCGCCAAAAACTTGATAGGGCATAAGCGTATATGCCAAATTCCTATCTCGTAGTAAACCGGAAGTCCGGATACCGTCTCTCAGGGACTGGTACAACCTTATAATTTATCAATTC